TTAACTGATAAGCACAGTAAAGCGCCACAACCCATTACCCCGTCGCCCCCCCTAGATGGGTCCGTAAATCGAAAGAACAAGATTCCGTCCTATAGACCGAATTACAAAGTGCGAGTTCTAGAGCTGCTCTCCTATCTTTAGATCAGTATTCAAGGAACTACCCAGATGATACAGAATAGGGATGACATGTCTCGACACTGAGCCCATGCGCGTGATGATAGGACGGATTATAGTTGAAGTATCATGCGTGTTGTCAGAGTGCTGCCAATCTCTTCGGTTGGCTGGAGCTGGTGCTAATTTGAGTGGCAACTCCTATAATGTACTGTCAGTTGTGTAGAATACCCATCGTCTCGGCTCTCAGCGAAAGGACATCTACACCAGCGTGAAAAGAACTCTTCAAATAGGCTCTGTTCACATTATTCAAGTATGAACAAGTGCATACAACAGACTAAAAAGTCGAGAAAAGAATGACACAACACAAGAGAATTGGACTATTGCGTGGGGACCGCACGCTTACTTAGTCTAATTCATACACGGGCACGTCACGCTTGCGCTTACGACCGTGGACCTCTTCCAAAATCTTCTTCACGAACTGCTCATACTGGTCCACCACAGAATAGAGGGATAAGAGATCAGGCAACGACCTACACGTGCTACTCGCTTGTGCTCGAGCAAGTTCAGGTTCAATACGTTTCACGATCCATTCGGAGAACTGTTGACGCTGCAGAGTCGCCGCTTCCTTCTCCAGTCCTTTTGTCATTTTCATCTGGAGGATCTGTCGTTGAGTTTCGATATTGCCTCGGGACTTAAGCAACGGCTTATATGAAAAAAGACCCTTAGTCACATCATCTTGAACCATTTGACGCATGGCCTCGAACTCACTATCCGTTATCGTGGCAAAAAGTGGATTCTCGCCAAGTTTGCCGTTGTCGGCACGAGGAAGTTTATACCCACGGGCTTGTCGAAATGCCTCAACGATGAACTTGTCATAGCCGTTCGCAACAGCCTCTGCGATTTTGCGCTGTTCCGCCGACACATCAGCGCGCCGTGCATCCTCACGAACAAGCTCGGGGTCTTTCTTACTCAAGAACCAGGAAGCGAACTGCGCGATTTCGAGTATATTCTCTTGATGCGCTTCTGGTGAATGTGGTTCCGCCGTCCGCTCGTGGAGCTTCAACATCGTAGCGAAAGGACCTATCGTCCGCGCCAACTTTTCGTATTTATCGATTGACGGTCGATGATGAGGTTTAGAAGCAAGGGAACACGCAAGCTTGTACTCCTCATTGTTGAAACGAGGGTCAACAGATCCCTGTTGATGCGTTGCGACGACTTCGGCTCGTTTGCCTGACATAATGGATTGGCTGTCGCTGCTGAGTCTTGTGTCTTCCTCATGATGCACATTGATAACGCCACGTGATGTATCTGACTCGACGGATTGGCGACCATGAACAAGCCGCCCGAGCTCCCCTTGCTCCTTGAGAAGTGCGCTCTTGCTTGACTCGGCCACCCGATTGGACGGGGCGATTACATGACCTACTAACGCCTCGGCTGCTTCAACGACAGGCACTAAGCCCCGATTTTCCTGCTCTTGCCTGATCTGAGAATGGGCCAGTTCTAGTGCGTCGGCAGGCTCGGACGCTTTCACGTCAGCAGCAACAGCGTTCAGGATACCAGGATCGTCGAAACTTACGGCTAAGCCGGCCGCGACGAGCAGCGAAAGACTCGCAGATAGTGCGAACAGAGAGACAATCCTCATAGCGATGCTTGACGACGGACAAGTGAGGCACAATGAGGTGGAACGCGAAAAGAGAAGGAAGAAAACCTTCCAAAGGGTCTAGAGATCTTGCGGGAGTAATTTGCAATGCGGTTGCAGCATCGGCTGACAATTGTCAGGCTATGACCAGACCGCGTGTGGACTAGACCTCGTGTATCGCATTTGCATCAAACAGTGCGGATCATCAGACGATGTCCACGCAGCGTTCAGACCAGTTGGCGCAACCGTCAAAATTGGACCGAGCCTTCAAGCCTTTTTATCAGATATGTTCCAGTGTATATTGGAGGTCGCAGATGCAGAAAGCCAGTGGGGACGTGGTGGTATTCGAATGGTACCACAGTCTCCGTTCAAAATATCGAGAGGAATCTACTGTAGCGATTGGAGCCTGATGTCGCGTCTGGTTGCATGGATAGGCGTGCGCGCTGCCGGTTTTCACCACATATAATCAAAAAGGGGGGGGATTGAAGTAGGTTCGCATATTTATGGCAGAAGAGGGTGCTTGAAGCAGGGGAGGTACTTTTAGTTTTTATTCCCAAGTTCTATTTGAATGTTTCATTTAATCGACTGGCTCTGAGCTTTCAAAATCAGTTTTTTTTTCGGTTCTATTTTCAGATAAGTGCGTGACTCAGGCACGATCCAGCCGACCGCCGATGCTTGCAACTGCAAGGACGCCAACAGATATTGTCCAACGATCAGTATGATAGAAAAGCTAGCACCATCTTGCCGTACTTGATAACGTGTAGCCAGGCTTTGGCAAGGTAAGGTATGACACCCTTCATTACACGTAAAATGGTAAGATGAAGGGTAAGCGTTAAAGGTAGCCAACGGGTAAGGTAGCGTGTCGAGTTATAGCAAAGCCGATGTCAATACCTGATTACCCGGTAAATATAGATTAAAACGTCCAAGTCGGACATAAGCGCTTCTGTGCAGCATTTTGCGCGTTGTGAGTTGCCCCATGGAGTCCTTCGAGCGAATAAAGCATTTCATCAAACATCAAAAGCACGCGTCTTTGCGTGCGACTGCATTCCGAAGCATTTGTATTCATGGAAGGTTCCAAATGCATGGCGACGACAACGACGCCGACGTCGGAACACGCGGCGCCATCTACTAACCGCCCATTATTTACTTGTCACGTAAGTGTTGGACATACTACGTGAGATGTAAAATAATGGGTGGTTAATTCGTGTAAATGGTGCTTCTTTCTTAATGAAGTATGAATATGTAATTTAAAATCTAGCGCTCATGGATGGGTGCCGGTATCGTTAAAGCGCCAGCGAATCGAGCACAAGCTCTAGCTGCACTCGTACAGTCCAGCATTAATGAGGTGCAGTCCATGGTTGCGCAGCTCGAGATGGAAAAGTAAAATTGGGACGAGGATGTCCCTGACGATGGGATTACAGGACAACCAATTCGCCGGTATGACATTTGAGGCTCAATGTAAGCCCTGATAAAACACCGCAAGAGTGCATTGCGCTCGCTTACCACCTGGCGTACACGACTTGATCTTACCCCATTCCACCCAGCCAATCTATTTTGATAGGCTGGCAATGTCGTATCATCAATACAGCTGCAACTTCACCGATTCGAACTATCACTTCAAGCGCTTGTTTACCGGGTAATGGCCTAGGGTAAAGGGGTAGAGTGAGGTAAATGTAAAGGTAGTCATTGACCATCCGGGTCAAGGTTGTAAGGTAAAGTTAAACAAAGTAGTAAGGAAAAGGTCAAACAAAAACTATCACCCGGTAACCTTTTACCTTACCTTGTCGAGGCCAACATGTAGCGTCGTCGCGTTATTTGAGACTGTTTGACGAGCTTGTCGATAACTTGAACAAATACGTTCTCGATCTTCAATAGCAAGACCATGTTGCTGTGGATAACTTCGAAGTGGTCGTCGTTTTTGATGACGAGACTAGGTCGCCCTAGAGACTTTCGAAGTGGTCGTCGTCAATGTCGATATTTAGATAAAAATCCGGGTGCCAGAACGAAAATGCGGTCGCTCTTTTAACGCGGTCTGGAAATGCTTCACCGGTAATGTGTCGTCGCAGAATACCGAAGTGCCGAATGCATGCACTGCTAAACTTCAAGTAATTAAAATAAGGAGAGGCGTAGCGCAAAGGCACACCTCAACTTTTCGTGCCAATTTTCGCTCACTACGAAGCAGCACGAATGATGATGAACTTTCTGATTGGTACCGACGATGGAGGAAGGCGGAACCACCAAAAAGCCGCCGCTCACCGAGCCGAATGGAATGATGTTTTCTGGCTTAAAATCGGGATTTTTTATATTAAACCCTACAACCTGATTGCCTCGCCTTAGTAAAGCGGGTTGTTTTCAGTCCTGGCTCAAAGTGACATTCCTGCGGGAGTGGCACAGCGTCATTACACATCATCTCACTGATTTTGGTCCAGCGTACCCGACACGTGCCCAGCAGTTGGCGGGACCCATCCTTGATGTATAGAAATCACGACAGTCAGGCTGCGACAAGAAGCCAGTGCTACGAGCACTGACTTCTTGACAGTCTCGCACTGGTCCATTGTAAGGCAGCCATGCCATCAGAACTTACATGTTGAGGTACTTATGATGATATCGAGGGACTACTACCGATTGTACAGTATCGACCTTGCAGAAAGTTCAGTTGACGCAACTGACGTGTCCACAATCGCTTTGCAAACTGTGGAATGTCAGACTGTACAATCGTGAGCAGATCCACTTGCTCTTATGCGGCGACACAGAAACAAAGCTAGCACGTCAGAAATAGTGCTTTTTCTGCGCGACTGAAATATTGGAAAAAGGCCGCTAGAGCGAAGATGGCTTGTGGTCAGGATGCTGAGTAAGAAATCCTCTTCATAACATTTACTTTTTAGCGGCGTGGAAACGTTAAACGTAGGGTCCCCTTTTTAAGCATCTTTTTACCATCAATTTCAAATTCACAATCTCATACAAATTTAGGAAGTCGATAATGAGCTTTCAGTTTTCGCAAATATGCTATCGAAACTTATTCGCTCATTACGTTCTCACACTTTTGCTTTTGCCATAGAAATAGAGCTACCTCTATTTCTATGGCAAAAAGTGTAAGAACGTTGGTAGCTCGGTCAGAAGTATTTAAACCGGACAAAATGTCATCGAGCCCTTTACCTCGCATCCCCAGCTTTCAGAAGCGCTTCTAATGATCTTGCACGCTTTCCGATGAAAAGTCGTGCCTTGAACGCCGACTCATTTGGCGAGCCTAAAATAACGACGAGCCTGAATGATCGGCATCACCATCATTTGAGGGCGCCTTCTTCAAACACGTCAAGCGATGTGCAGACGGTAGCGAGTCTGCATCTAGAACGTACTCAGAAGAGCAGCCCAGCTGGGTTCAGGTGCCGTGAACACGCACTCGTCCAGCTGCGAAAGTAGTGCACGCCACAGCTCATGAGTACCCCGCTATCAAAGCCAGAATGTTCAGACAAAAAGTACCTTGTACTCCAGAGCGTGTAGCCAAATCTTTGAGCAATGCAACTGCGTTTCCTTGAAAGCGTCAGCGTCCCCAACGCAGCACCAAGGACATGTCCGTCTCACGAACTCCTCCTCGCTCTCGTCCTCCTTCCGAGGCGATGAATAGTCCACAGTGTCTTTTGGCACAAGATCAGCTTTGCTGCGCTTCGCCGCTGCAATCTCTTCGATGCGCTCTGCACTCTCTCCAAAATGCAGCTCGCCGCCATAGCAAGGGTCATTGGCGATGGGGAATCCAACGAGTTGCAAGTGCAGACGGATCTGGTGTGTTCGTCCTGTGACCGGCTGGCATTTCACGAGGCTCGTTGACTTGTCTGCACGGACGAGACGCACCAAAGTCTCCGATGCTTTGCCGTTTTCGTGGCACTCCCACACACCATCGCGAGCTGACAGACAGCGAAGTGGACAGCTAATAACGAGGGTGTCCTTCTCTGGGAACGTAATCACACTGGCAGGGCAGTTGACTCTAGCTTTGCTCACTAGCGTCTCCTGGGTTGCCTGATCGAAGAGAGCTGGGAAGTCACCGCGCACACGCGCAAGATACGTCTTGGAAGCCTGGCGATTAGCTACTCCGCAAATGGATCAAAGTATTAGCGAGGAGTCACGCGAGCTTGTAAAAACAGGAAAATAACCGCACAAGAGCTGGTTGCTTGTTGCAGCAGCAAACCGTAACGTACCGATGATTGATGACAGAGACTTCGCCTTGGCCGCATTCTTTGCTAGAAGCACAACACCTGATGCAGCCGAGTGAGTTTCAATAATGAGCAATGGGTTACATCGGATCAACCTTTGCATCGTACCAGATGTGAGTCGGTCGAGTCGATGGACGACGTGAAGCTGCGGAAGGTCCGGTCGAGTTGTTTGCAGGATCGAATGCAGCGAGTTGTGGCGATACGCTCCACACGGATGAGTCGGCATGGAAGGCGGCTTCGACACGGCAATCTAGTATTGCACTCCACGGTTAGTTCGGGTGCTGCAAAAGAGCGGTACTTGCTCACACACGTACCAGATCGTCGTTCTCATACACTACTGCCACCTCATCTCCGGACACTGGAGGCTCGTGCCGATGAGCCTATGATATTGACGCAATGCTGTGCTATCAGTCCTTGAACACAACAACAAGACAGCAACGACCGCAAGCTCAGCCAAAGTCACCGTATGAATGATCAAATCTCCGTTCTTGATGACGGTATCCGTCGGCACGAGCTGATGGTTCACGGAGATGCGTCCCGATGCAATGGCAAATCTCTACACCACAATGCTCCTTCAGCAATGATTGAACCACATTACAAAGTCGTTTTGTCGTCAGAACTCACATAGTACTCTGGCGAATTGGCGCCGAATTCTGTGGTAAAAACCTCCAGCAGCTCACGGTTGAACCACCTGGCCTTGGCAAATGTGCGAAACTCGTACACGTACGGCTCGACCGTCCGATAACCTGCCATGAACCATCAGACCTCATTATTACTAATTTGTCTGTCTAGAAACAACGTTTCCTGAACAACAATTGGGTGCGAAATCATTTCTTCGCCACTACCATTGACAAATGAGTACGTCGGTACTTCAGCCTGGAATTTGGCAGCACTTTTGGCTTCTTGCTTGGACTTGCGCTTCTTGGCTTGGCGCTCGACTGGATCTCTCTCTGCACGACGCATTTTCTTCAACCGTCTCTTGCTGACAACTTCAACCTCTCCGTCTCCAGCGCTCGTCGCTGTTGCGATGGCACATTCTGTATCGCCGATCTCCATGCCTTTACACAATTATTGTCGTCTCTTGTACTCAAGAACGATGGAAATGACTGGCCACTATGCATTCAGTCAACAATGCGCTATATTGCAATATCAAGAGCAGTAAAATCAAAACAACGCAGCGAGTTATCCCAGCATACTGGACACGAGCCTCAAAGGGGTTGCAACTCTTGGCATCTTGAGTCATTGCGACTTGGTGTCAACGGCAATGAAGTTCTCGGGAAGAGCTGGAGGGGCGTAACCCCGAAGTAAGAGCGAAGACGTGACCACCACAACACGGACGAAATGGCCATGGTACCACCAGCAAACATGAGCGGAATAGTGGAGCCATATGGATACAGCACATCTGCAGCTGGAGGGATCAAGGGACAATTGTAGCTTCAGCCCACACTTGTTCAGCCGGATACGGGCACCGATCGTTCAAGACTGATCCAGTGCCGGAATGACGTCGAACAAGTTGACCTTCATGTGGACCATGCCAGCGTTTCCACTGCGATTTCCATGCCACCACCTACAACAATGCCAAAATCCACTCGTGCAAGGGCAGGCAAGTCATTTATGCCATCGCCGACCATTGCAACGGTGTGGCCACTGCTCTGAAGCTGCTTGACTTTAACAAAGACCTTGGAAAGGAACAGCACCAACCATGATGTTGCGACAGCTGATACCGAGCTGGTCAGCAGTCGTGTCCGCAGTACGCGCGTTGTCTCCAGTGACCACCCAAACCTCGAGACTCATGTGCTTGAGTTTCTTCGGCGTTCTCACTGACTTCGAGCGGAGCGCGTCTGCCACGTCAATGACAGCTCTAAGCTCATTGTCAACGCCCGTGTAAATTGCAGTCTCTCCGGCATTCTTGAATGTCAGCGTGGCTCGCTGTAGCACAATACTCGTCCAACGCTTCACCGACCGTTATCTGCCATCCATTCCCTGTTGCCGATGACAGCTTTGCGCTCACCAACCATGCATGTGATGATACCTCGTCCCGAGACGCCGTGGAAAGCAGTCGGCCGCTCAAGTGGTGATGCTTTGGATGTGAGGTACTCGATGATTATCTTGGTCAGCGGGTGTTCGCTGCCAGGTTCGGCCGACCCAGCTAAGAGAATGAGTTTCTTGGTACTCCATTTCTTACTGAGCACGACCACGTCTGTCACCACAGGCTTTCTCACAGTCAGCGTACCCGTCTTGTCGAACAGGATCGTGCCGATGATGGCGCAGCTTTTGAAGGCTCGCCACCTTTGATTGACATGCCATGCTCAGCGCCAACACCCATTCTGACCATGACTGCCGTTAACGTGGCTAGTCTCAATGCACATGGGCAAGCAATCTCGAGCGTCGGGATACCAGAGTTGGACGCAAATATGAATTCACTGTCCGTGGATGGAATCAAGCTCGATGGAACGAATCACCTCAAGAAGACATCGGATGAACTAGGCTGAGGACGTCAGACACGACAACTCCGGTGCAGTTGGTGCATAGATGGATGCCAGGTAGTCTACACATGCTTGGATTGACGGTTCCGAGGCCTGCATGTCCTCCACATGACGAAAGGGTTGACTCGGTGCAGTCGTTGTCGTCCACATTAATTTCATTCACATGATACAACCCGCCAGCGTTGATCGTTGTTCCCGGCATGCGATCACCAACGACTTCATATCCTCCATCACCGGTCAGCATCAACATACCGATTCGATTGTCGCTGTAAACAATGCCGGCATCATCAGAAATCGATGAAGTGCGAACGACGTTCAAATGTCGCCGAGCTGGACCAGCTCAATGACAGCACTCCATTCTTCTTGAACACTGGTTCCATCTGCGCTGGAAACTTACAGCGTAGCCGGTTTGACCTGTAGCTCCATCAACTTGCTCCATGCTGGCGACGTTTCGCCTTTCACGGCGGATTTAAAAGATGCTGGCCACTGTCACGAACGAAAGCAGCATCGTCGAAGTCAGATCACATCAAGATGGCAAAACCTGAGTAGACAAGCGCCAACGACGCCGAGAAGCCCGTAAAAGCATGACTTGTTTGAGCCCACCGATACGGAGAATGACATGCCTAGCGTCTGGCCCCTTATCTTAAATACGCATTGACGCGAAACGACATGCAGCATGTAACTAGACTGGCGTAGCGGTAGTTGCCACGATCAAAGTTTGCCACGAACCACCTGGAAAAATGTCAACGACAAGCTGTGTTCCGGTGTCAAACTCCGTCATGATCATAGAGACTGGGGTCGTGAAGACAATTAATACATGAACGTCGACGCGATGTCGCGCGGTCTCTTAGGCGCGCTGATTTCCACGCACTTTCTGAGCCTCTACTCCAGGCACTCGAGGCGTCGCATGCGACAGTCTCAACAACCGCTCTTACGCCGACCACGTGCTTGCCGAGCTGGCCGTGATTTCTCCATTGCAAAGCTAACAGTAGCTGGAAATAACTAAAAATAAGCCGTTTAGCTTTGCCAGCGCGTCTACGACTGAGCTAGAGCACGGGTCGCAAGTCATGCCTCCGATGAGAAGCGTAACCTCTCCGATGTCGACTATGTTTTCGTAGCCATTTGAAAGAGCTAAATCGTTTGCAGCTGTAGACGACGCTCTACCCGACTTCTCGTTGGTATCAAACGCACAGTCCTTGGCAACGACAGACACTTCACGCACACTTGGCCCAACATCTCAGGTGCAAAGTTTCGATCCTGCACGTTGAACGGATCGGACCAAGTCGTTATCATGAACCTGTTCGTCAGGGTCTACCACGACAGTTGCCCTCTGAGTGGCAAAGTCCACAGATGCCGATGCAACACTCTCGTGGTACAACTAGGAACACAAAGCGGTCCTCTTCATCCCGAGGCTGGAAATGACTATCGCTCGCGACATCCTGCTCAATAGACGATTTGGAACGTCCAGAGTATTAAGGAGTCAAGTGTGCAGCACTTGTAGCTCGTTTTATCTTCTTCGGACGTGAACGGCGTTTATTGTTGAGGTTTTGGAGATACTGGAAATACAAATACGATGGAGATGGCTGACATTGTAAACTGCACGACAGAAATGTTCATTTACAACACACTGCTGGAAAGCATAGCCAGCTGGCACGAGATATGGCGAAAGGTTTTGGGTCACCTGAGATTTAAGCTTGATTTGATATGACACTTTAGGCACTCCTTCTTGACAAGTAAGAAGAACAAGTCCGATTCAACTGGACAATAGGAGTCGATCTTCTGCGTCCACATTCGAAGCGCCCAACCCGGACAGACCAGCTGACGCCATATTGTCTCAGCGAGTTCTTCAGCGCAGGAACTCGTTGTTTAAATAGTAGGAAGATAACTAGGTAAACTCCGCATGACCTTTATCACGGGCAGGAGCATAACTGCGGTAAAACGTAACTATCCCTACAGACGTTCATGCCGATCAATTTCCGACTCGTTGCTCGTCTTGGGTCACTTTAAGATGCTCTCGTTCACCAAGTACGCTCGCAAAAACCTTTCAACGTAATGACCGGCATCACGCTGACCAGCTATGTCAACGATGAGCTGCTTCCATCACAGTTTTACCTATTCCTTACCTCGACTCTAGTTTTTTTTTCGACTTGAACACGACCAGTTTACGCCTGACGCACTCTGCACGAGTGATTCCAAGCTAGAATGTGCAGAGGGCATACCGTCGTAGAATTTGAGCGCTCTGCGGCGTATTCCAGTCGGTGTCTTGCTGGTTTCCAGGCACTACCCTCGCCGTCTAAGAAGAAGTGCAAGCAATAGGTCAATGATGAACTTTGTGCATAACTGCACTCCAGGCGTGCAACAGATATGACTCGTTTAACTTGTCAATGCGATAGAGCCCGGTGAATGTTGACGTAAATCCACAACAGCTCGTTGGTGATTGTCCCGATTTGTACCGTCTTTCACGACAGCATTCGATGCAGCTGCTTTTGTATCACCTTTCGTCACTCAAAAGAGTCGAAACGGTAGTAAGCCTTTGTGGTCTCCTTCGAGCGCCAATGCATTGAGCACTCGCACTCGTAGCCACAAAAACGAAGCATAGCGATTACCAACGAGCCATCAAGTTTGATCACTGTGACATTTCCTTATCGTTCCCAGCACTCTGATTCCAAACGCGTGCAGTGAAGCGGACTCTTTTGCAATGTGCAAAAATGTCTGTTTGGTATTGTACACCGGATCGGTCGACATCTTGCCAATGAGTTAGCTAAAACCACTTCGAGCAAAACTGCAGTATCGATCCTCACTGTCTGCTATGAGCGTCAGGCTTTGGCGCGTGTCGATGATAGTAGCATACAGAAACTTTGGAGTACTGAGATGTCATTCAGAGTGGCAGCGATTGAGCATTACAACTGAGTAGACTAAAGCGAAGACTCCCACGATGAAGTAGCGCCTAATTTCGAGAATTCATCGTTCGTCTCGCCGAAAATGTGATGCGAATGCGGCTCCTGTATGCGTATGGTCGCTTGCTGCTTGTTGCAGAATGCCACTCACGACGACTCGAATGTGTGTGCACCATACGCTCCACAGCCGTGCTTTGAAGACACGTGCTTCGGTGACAAGCGTCGTCATTTTATTGAGCAGGTCTTTATCACCACTACAAGGAGCATGTCGATGATCTGTACGTCCGTTTTTGACTGTAAAGTCTACGCGTCGGACCTGCCTGACTTCCAGGTTCTGCCAGGAACATGTGGATCTGCCGTTGGCGTAGCACTAAAAAGCCACACGACAGCCAGGGCGGGCCAACCACTAGATACGGTAGCAAGCAGCCCGGGATGTAAAGACCCGCGCTGTGTAGGACAGTGCGAGCCTTTATGATGACTAAGTGGGCCAGCTGAACCTGAAACGAAAGAATGTAAGTTTTCCAGATACAGGATACAGCACAAGTTCGCGGTGATGCACTCACTGTCACGAATATAGCACAAACGCGAACAACGCAATAGTTGCGGTAAGCCATACTCAAATGCTACGCGGTGTAAGTTTGGAGCTACAAGTGCATTTCATACAGGTCATGTTTGCCGAGTGTGTCATGGCACAAAGGCGCTTCCATTCTTTGGTAACGAGGAATGAAACACTGAACAGACGATAATACTTACATGCTTTACGCGTCTTGTTCCGGGTACTCGTGGAAAGTTCAGTTTCAGTGACAAGGTTTCAGCACTACACTACCGATACTGCATCGTTCCATGCGCCTCAGTTGATACGATCTTTGGAAGCTTGATCACTTTGAGTCTGACTTGTGCATGTTGCAGCTTGATGTTTGCAGACCGTGGACGACTTGGTCGTTGCATCCGTCACCCAATCAAGGATATCCACAGAGAGTCAATGACGACAGACATTTGAACAGGTTTCGTAAATAAATGAACGAAACCTGTTTGAATTGTCCGTCACCAAACCGAGTATTGACACGACACGTACTGCTACACAATGTGGTAAGCTTGTGTGAAATGCAAAGGATTGTATCGTCAATACAGTAGCATTCTCGATCTCTAGGCACTGCTAATAGCACAGCACTAACTATTCGCCTGCAATCTCATCACGGATCACCATCGTAGTTGTAATTTGATTGCCTGAGTACTCAGTGGAGCATTGCACGTTCTCTCGTTTGCCTCATACTCTGCGTCAAACAGTCGAAATGAGAACGTACGCGGCTTTGCTTCCTTTCGTGAGAGTTCATTCGAAACACGCAGCCAAATTGAGTTGAATTCAAGTTGACTCCTGTACTGCAATCATTCGACACCGACACCCCGTTCAAGTCATGTCATGTCGAGTACATGGCTGTCTGGAAGGGGTCAAGGTGATGCACAAAATACATCCTTTTCTGCACATTTCAAGCTGAGCACATACTCCCTACCGTCACAATTCATGTACTCCGAGAAAAAAAACGATCGTGGGACGCGAACCAAACCGCAGAAATACAGTGTCACGTTTATTCACTTCGTTTTGACTTCCGCTGCTGTGGTCAAGCTTGTCAAAGATCGAGTGGTATACACAACTTCAACTTGCGGAGACCATCACTCCTTCCGCGCTTTGACAAGCAAAAGGTCCCGCAAGCGAGTACACGACCCACCCAAGCTCCACCGCGTTGTTCGGCCGCGCGTCTTCTTGCGACTCCTTCGTACAAGCTCGCGTTCTGCCGAATTGCTCCATCGTGCTTGCCACTTGTTCTCACCTGCTTCTGTTCGGATGCAAGCGGCGAGAAACAGCAGCGACCTCAAGCGAGAAAAGACGCCACCGCGCGAGAAAAGACGATCGATTGACCAAGCAGATTGCGCGCTATCGATAGCCAACGCGTCTTTTCTCGACTGCTATATGCAATAAGGTGGACTGCAGTGCACAATAAGGTGGAGCCTGATGGCCGTGAATGCGAGGCCGATGGTCTCACTTTGAGTGTTCCACTTGAGAAGACAGACGTAGCAACAGCATCCCGCCTCAAGGGTAGCCGTCACGACTCTTTCTACCTCCAATGGAGCATCTACATGGACAACGTCAAGCAGTTATGTCACCAAAACAAAGGATGACGTTCCTGAAACCAGAGACAACTTGTAGCGAGCTCGAGAGTCAGCAGCACGTTGACTTGTTACAGACGGATAGGACAGGCCTATCACCAAGCTGCCACCACATCTTTTCTCCGTGGTTCCCAACACTTGTAGACTCACCTGCTGTTCCAGAAGCGGTGACATGTCTTTTTAGCGAGCGACGGTACAACTTGTTCGCTTCACTGTGGTGCACGCAGCAGATACTTGACGTCATTTAGCTTTGTCCTATCGCGTTTTGATTGTTGCTATTGCTGTTGTGTTGAAGCCTCGAGCCGTGCGAGTGGATAGAGTTACTGGAGCAGACCGAGTGCTTGGATTACGTAAGCCCGGATGTTGACGCGTGCATTGAGATGCAAAGTCGGATAGAAGGCGATCAGGAGCTTGAGCTCACGGGCACGGAATTTATCACAAGTCCGGCGATACCGAAGCTCCCGTCGCTCGTTAGCCTTTCCGTGGAGCGCAACACAAACTCAATGCCGATGGCACAGCCTCAAGGTAAAAGTCCGACCACATCCGTCGATCTTCTGTCAAACATTCGCTTTCGAGCATCCCTTTCTTGGTAACCATTCGACGTTTATGCAGGCACCCTGCCACGGCGCCCGGGCTTACGCGAAAAGTTTCCTCGTCAGCAGCTACCAACGGACTACACTGATGCACACTACCCTCACAACTATCTACTAACTGTTGACAGGCTGGTGGAAGACAAACAGGCAATGAGAGTGGAAAGATCAGCAGAGAGACGAAGCTCCGAAAGGCAGTCTGCCAGTCGATCTCTCAGGTTCGAAGTACCTCAACAAATCAATTCTTCTCGGCCAAAGCGCGCTTCATGGGGCGGGCATTCTGCAAGAGCGAACGCTAGAGCGATGTCTCGAAGGCAATGCAAGTCGACTAGAAAGTCAAAAGACTGCATGATTCCAGGCTGTGTGAAAGGTGCTCGCTCGAGAGGACTGTGTAAGCGTCACGGCGGAGGCAAACGATGCACTTTTTCAGGCTGCGCCCGCAGTGACCAAGGTGGTGGCTTCTGTATCGCCCACGGCGGAGGTCAGTATGATGTTCAGCGTGACAACCCAGTCAATTGACTAACCGTTGCTTGTGGATGCGTGTGGACTAGGTAAGCGATGCGCCACTGAAGGATGCAAGAACTCTGCTCAGTCGCGCGGACGCTGCAAGAGCCATGGAGGTACGAAGTGAGCGAGTCATAGTCGACGGACCTTGATTGACATGCAAAGAATGCTGGAATGTTGTGGTTGTTACAGGTGGCAAGAGATGCCGTGCTGAAGGATGCGCCAAGAGCAGCCAAGGAGGAGGATTCTGCCGTGGCCACGGAGCTGGCAGAGCCTCCAAAGTCAAGACGGCGAATATCTTATTGTAGCTGGCCACCCGCAGGAACATCTTCCCCACCGTGCACGGGTGAAGACGCTGTAGATGTCGTTGTATGTGTAGTAAACCCCGTTTCTGAAGTCCAACAAGTTGAAGTGAGTCGGTATGGATCTTGGACTCGAGTCATTCGTCGCAATGCATGAATCGCAGCCATTTGATTGGTGCACGACTCGTACTCCTCCTTGCCGCCAAAACTCGCTCCCCGCCAAAACCTCAGACTCGAAAAACACAAGCCATGACAGACCTCCGAATCCAGGTATGTTGCACGAACATCCACAGCCGCAGCTGACCCCGTCACGCATGAACGCTAACCCCTTGTCGTCATCATTCTTCCCACAGTGTGTCAAGAACGTGGTGCTAGAAACAGCGCGTGGTGATGATGGAGAAATCGATCGCAGCGCGCTCCAGATGGACCTCGTGCTGCGCAAAGAAGTCGGCAATGCACGTCTAGTGAGCGGTGATGTTGTGTTGTGGGTGGGTAAGGGCGTGTTGTCCTACAAAGACTCGATAGTGGACTCGGTACCCACTCGTACTGTGCGCATCGAGAACAAGAAGCGGCGCTTCGTGTTCACAGTGGTGCTGGACGCTGCTGGCAAACAGTTTTATGCCGACCTCAAGGATCAGGTGGAAGCTAAAGCACGAGTCGAAGTCCGCAAGAAGAAGCGGAAGATTCGTACACAGCTGAGCCGAGAAACGGGCTTTACGCCCGTTAACACACTAAAGAGCCCTGCAACAAGCCCCTCTCTCCTGCTCCCAACTCCCACAAAAAAACTGGCCTTGACGCCCAAGCGTGCCCCGCTGGCGGATATTGGGACACCACAACGGACACCACAATTAGCCCTCCCGCCGCCGCTACCGGTGGCTTTGAAGAAGTCGACTCCGCATTTGACCTCCCCGTTGAGGTCGCCGTTCCGCTCTCCATTCCGCAAGAAAGCGCGACGTTCGCAAAGTCCGTCCCATGGACTAGTGGATTTCTCATCGCCATCCTTGCGATCTCCCGCTCGTGAATGGCTCAGTACGACTCAGTCAACGAAGCTACATAGCGGACCGACCCTGTCAGATACTTGTTGCCTGGTTCGTGCTGATTTGTGGAGCAAGCGCGAACTAAAGCTTAATTCTTTTGCTCTGCCATCCTTTTGACACACCTGGTCTCCTTCTTCGCATTTACAGGTCAATGCGCACATAATTACTGGTGTTTATTCTCTTTTGATGAAGGATTAGCGCTGTGCCATGTCACTCATCCAAGCGTTTTTGCCAACAAAAGACGAATTTACGAAAACGAGCGGCATCTATCCTAGCACTGGAAGGTTGGCAGCGGTAGAAGGTCTTTTGGTTCGCTATTGGCGCGTTGTTTTTTTCATCCGTACACATTCAATTGATACAACGCGTTTGACTTCCAAGACTGGCTTAGTCACACAGCAAGACGGCAAGTCATGTAATTCAAAATTATAATTTACAAAGTACGTCTCAAGGCGTAATCGGGACGCTACAGGAAAGCTCTCAAACCATCGCTACGGGACCCCTCACGTTGCCGGCTCGAAGATGCATCGTTTTCATTTTGTGGCGTAGTGTGATTTGAAGGGACGTTTTCTTTGTCTTCATTGGTGCCACTTCTCTCCGATTTCACGTAAAAGAACATGTAGCACGATTCCTGGCTCCGGTACGATTGTAATGCGTAGTCTGTCGAAATCTAAAGTGACGGAAAATCGTGAGACGAGCCTCGTTACAGCTAATTACGAAACAAAACCAAGTGCCTACCTTCGATTCATGCGTATCATTTCGACGTATCCATTGGCCATGAGCATCGCACACGTCAGCGACGTAGTGTCCCTCGTCAATGTTTTTACCAAGGTGGTGAATGACGCTCTGCAGCATACAAACATGAGCACAAGTTAGCACACAGTTCAACAGAAGTGATTGCGCATTGTAAGTGAGTACGCACTTTCAGCACATAGTGCCGTTCGCTCCCAGACGAAGATGAATTGTCGATCGAGCGAACGGGATCAATCGTGGGAGGAGGTACGACCAGGTCGCACCGCTTGAACAAAACACCCGTTTGAGGATCCACCTCAAAGCGCTTCAGATGCAGCACGAGGATCGACGGCAGCGACTCGACCTCGTACGCTGATCGTGCCTCCTTGCCACCTTTACACTTCTCGCACGTTAATTCCAACACCTCGGTCTCAAACTGCTTTTGTAACAGCGTTTCCAATTCAATAGGTGCTGGTCGTGACGGCCAGCCAGAGATAGGAGACACTGACGACGACGCGGAATTCACCCCGGTATCTGTAAGTTTTGCAGAAGACGCTCTACATCCCCCGCTATCCACAACCTTCTCTCGATAACTGCAGGACGAATTCGTGCAGCAGTAGTAGCGGTCATCATCTACTCCCGTTGCATGCGGAACAAGGTTGCAAAAACATCGTCGTCCAAGCGATGGCGATGCTTGCGGTTCTTGCTCTGCCGTAGGTTCCTGCTCCGCAACGGGTTCCAGCTCTGAAATAGGGTAGTAAGGAAGATCAAGAGAGAAGTCGTAAAATGTCTCGGCCTGCTTCCGGCTGTAGCCGCAACTTTGGCAAGTCAGTGTGCGGCTTAATTCCGCCCGAAAGCACTTTGCTGGAGGCAGCCGACAAATGAGCTCCAGTTCCACGTGAGCTGATCCGCTTGCAGTCTCGTGCTGACCGTCACTCGCCTTTGATCCATTGCGTAAGAAACCCGTTACACCGTTCCGCTGAGCCTGAGGAGATGACTTGGGCTCTCCCTGAATCCTTTTGGTCACTTCGTGGACCATATTCACAAGCTCGTTTTCGTACTCGGTCACGACGTTTAGCAAAAATTCGTGAGCATCTTGCTGAAAGTGGCTGCATTGAAAATCATGACACGCCAACACGGTCAGAATGAAAATTGACTACATCAAATCAGTACGTAGCACGTACGTTGCGAAGATGGAGTTTTTCTTTCCCATCACATTCTTGAGAAACTCTGGATTAATCGACGTCTCGCTGCCGTTAACAACAAGCTGGAGCAATTGGCTCAAGGCATACTGGAGCGGAAGATGCTTAGAGTCGCCACTATTTCGCCAGTCATTGAAAATGGTCTTGAGTTGCTCCGATGTCCTGGCATTGGCCCTCGCACAGGGCTGCTTCCGAATAATCTGCAATAAGCTTTCTTCGTCTGTAACAGCACTTACAAACGCAGGAAGGGCTGCCAATGCTTGTACTATTGCATTCATGTAACAGTAGTTTCCCAAGTTCAGCAATCCGTGCGTGCTTCTATGAGCTTCATCTATCGGTAAGTCACCTCCACTTGAATCTGATCTATCAGCCGCCGGTGCAATCGATTCCAGCGGCTTATCAAAAACCTCAGCGGCACTGTCATGGGGATGACAAGAAGGCGAGTTCGTCTTGAAGAAGTGCGACGTAATCTTCGTTTTATCGTCCACAGCGGGATCCTTCACAACCGATTCATCTTCCAGCATCAACTGAAGCGAGCGCACCCGCTTATTTATCGATCCCGTGACAGACTTCCGGCGATGTCTATCACATGGGCTATCACCAGATATCTCTGCATTTTGTGCGCTCTCACTTACCGGCGTTTGAAAATTGCGATGTGTTTTAACCGGCGGGGTCGGTGCGCTATGTAGCTTCGTTGACTGAGTCGTACTGAGCCATTCACGAGCGGGAGATCGCAAGGATGGCGATGAGAAATCCACTTGTCCATGGGACGGACTTTGCGAACGTCGCGCTTTCTTGCGGAAAGGAGAGCGGAACGGCGACCTCAACGGGGAGGTCAAATGCGGAGTCGACTTCTTCAAAGCCACCGGTAGCGGCGGCGGGAGGGCTAATTGTGGTGTCCGTTGTGGTGTCCCAATATCCGCCAGCGGGGCACGCTTGGGCGTCAAGGCCAGTTTTTTTGTGGGAGTTGGGAGCAGGAGAGAGGGGCTTGTTGCAGGGCTCTTTAGTGTGTTAACGGGCGTAAAGCCCGTTTCTCGGCTCAGCTGTGTACGAATCTTCCGCTTCTTCTTGCGGACTTCGACTCGTGCTTTAGCTTCCACCTGATCCTTGAGGTCGGCATAAAACTGTTTGCCAGCAGCGTCCAGCACCACTGTGAACACGAAGCGCCGCTTCTTGTTCTCGATGCGCACAGTACGAGTGGGTACCGAGTCCACTATCGAGTCTTTGTAGGACAACACGCCCTTACCCACCCACAGCACGGCATCACCACTGACTAGACGTGCGTTTCCGACTTCTTTGCGCAGCACGAGGTCCATCTGGAGCGCGCTGCGATCGATTTCTCCATCATCACCACGCGCTGTTTCTAGCACCACGTTCTTGACACACTGTGGGAAGAATGATGACGACAAGGGGTTAGCGTTCATGCGTGACGGGGTCAGCTGCGGCTGTGGATGTTCGTGCAACATACCTGGATTCGGAGGTCTGTCATGGCTTGTGTTTTTCGAGTCTGAGGTTTTGGCGGGGAGCGAGTTTTGGCGGCAAGGAGGAGTACGAGTCGTGCACCAATCAAATGGCTGCGATTCATGCATTGCGACGAATGACTCGAGTCCAAGATCCATACCGACTCACTTCAACTTGTTGGACTTCAGAAACGGGGTTTACTACACATACAACGACATCTACAGCGTCTTCACCCGTGCACGGTGGGGAAGATGTTCCTGCGGGTGGCCAGCTACAATAAGATATTCGCCGTCTTGACTTTGGAGGCTCTGCCAGCTCCGTGGCCACGGCAGAATCCTCCTCCTTGGCTGCTCTTGGCGCATCCTTCAGCACGGCATCTCTTGCCACCTGTAACAACCACAACATTCCAGCATTCTTTGCATGTCAATCAAGGTCCGTCGACTATGACTCGCTCACTTCGTACCTCCATGGCTCTTGCAGCGTCCGCGCGACTGAGCAGAGTTCTTGCATCCTTCAGTGGCGCATCGCTTACCTAGTCCACACGCATCCACAAGCAACGGTTAGTCAATTGACTGGGTTGTCACGCTGAACATCATACTGACCTCCGCCGTGGGCGATACAGAAGCCACCACCTTGGTCACTGCGGGCGCAGCCTGAAAAAGTGCATCGTTTGCCTCCGCCGTGACGCTTACACAGTCCTCTCGAGCGAGCACCTTTCACACAGCCTGGAATCATGCAGTCTTTTGACTTTCTAGTCGACTTGCATTGCCTTCGAGACATCGCTCTAGCGTTCGCTCTTGCAGAATGCCCGCCCCATGAAGCGCGCTTTGGCCGAGAAGAATTGATTTGTTGAGGTACTTCGAACCTGAGAGATCGACTGGCAGACTGCCTTTCGGAGCTTCGTCTCTCTGCTGATCTTTCCACTCTCATTGCCTGTTTGTCTTCCACCAGCCTGTCAACAGTTAGTAGATAGTTGTGAGGGTAGTGTGCATCAGTGTAGTCCGTTAGTAGCTGCTGACGAGGAAACTTTTCGCGTAAGCCCGGGCGCCGTGGCAGGGTGCCTGCATAAACGTCGAATGGTTACCAAGAAAGGGATGCTCGAAAGCGAATGTTTGACAGAAGATCGACGGATGTGGTCGGACTTTTACCTTGAGGCTGTGCCATCGGCATTGAGTTTGTGTTGCGCTCCACGGAAAGGCTAACGAGCGACGGGAGCTTCGGTATCGCCGGACTTGTGATAAATTCCGTGCCCGTGAGCTCAAGCTCCTGATCGCCTTCCATCCGACTTTGCATCTCAATGCACGCGTCAACATCCGGGCTTACGTAATCCAAGCACTCGGTCTGCTCCAGTAACTCTATCCACTCGCACGGCTCGAGGCTTCAACACAACAGCAATAGCAACAATCAAAACGCGATAGGACAAAGCTAAATGACGTCAAGTATCTGCTGCGTGCACCACAGTGAAGCGAACAAGTTGTACCGTCGCTCGCTAAAAGACATGTCACCGCTTCTGGAACAGCAGGTGAGTCTACAAGTGTTGGGAACCACGGAGAAAAGATGTGGTGGCAGCTTGGTGATAGGCCTGTCCTATCCGTCTGTAACAAGTCAACGTGCTGCTGACTCTCGAGCTCGCTACAAGTTGTCTCTGGTTTCAGGAACGTCATCCTTTGTTTTGGTGACATAACTGCTTGACGTTGTCCATGTAGATGCTCCATTGGAGGTAGAAAGAGTCGTGACGGCTACCCTTGAGGCGGGATGCTGTTGCTACGTCTGTCTTCTCAAGTGGAACACTCAAAGTGAGACCATCGGCCTCGCATTCACGGCCATCAGGCTCCACCTTATTGTGCACTGCAGTCCACCTTATTGCATATAGCAGTCGAGAAAAGACGCGTTGGCTATCGATAGCGCGCAATCTGCTTGGTCAATCGATCGTCTTTTCTCGCGCGGTGGCGTCTTTTCTCGCTTGAGGTCGCTGCTGTTTCTCGCCGCTTGCATCCGAACAGAAGCAGGTGAGAACAAGTGGCAAGCACGATGGAGCAATTCGGCAGAACGCGAGCTTGTACGAAGGAGTCGCAAGAAGACGCGCGGCCGAACAACGCGGTGGAGCTTGGGTGGGTCGTGTACTCGCTTGCGGGACCTTTTGCTTGTCAAAGCGCGGAAGGAGTGATGGTCTCCGCAAGTTGAAGTTGTGTATACCACTCGATCTTTGACAAGCTTGACCACAGCAGCGGAAGTCAAAACGAAGTGAATAAACGTGACACTGTATTTCTGCGGTTTGGTTCGCGTCCCACGATCGTTTTTTTTCTCGGAGTACATGAATTGTGACGGTAGGGAGTATGTGCTCAGCTTGAAATGTGCAGAAAAGGATGTATTTTGTGCATCACCTTGACCCCTTCCAGACAGCCATGTACTCGACATGACATGACTTGAACGGGGTGTCGGTGTCGAATGATTGCAGTACAGGAGTCAACTTGAATTCAACTCAATTTGGCTGCGTGTTTCGAATGAACTCTCACGAAAGGAAGCAAAGCCGCGTACGTTCTCATTTCGACTGTTTGACGCAGAGTATGAGGCAAACGAGAGAACGTGCAATGCTCCACTGAGTACTCAGGCAATCAAATTACAACTACGATGGTGATCCGTGATGAGATTGCAGGCGAATAGTTAGTGCTGTGCTATTAGCAGTGCCTAGAGATCGAGAATGCTACTGTATTGACGATACAATCCTTTGCATTTCACACAAGCTTACCACATTGTGTAGCAGTACGTGTCGTGTCAATACTCGGTTTGGTGACGGACAATTCAAACAGGTTTCGTTCATTTATTTACGAAACCTGTTCAAATGTCTGTCGTCATTGACTCTCTGTGGATATCCTTGATTGGGTGACGGATGCAACGACCAAGTCGTCCACGGTCTGCAAACATCAAGCTGCAACATGCACAAGTCAGACTCAAAGTGATCAAGCTTCCAAAGATCGTATCAACTGAGGCGCATGGAACGATGCAGTATCGGTAGTGTAGTGCTGAAACCTTGTCACTGAAACTGAACTTTCCACGAGTACCCGGAACAAGACGCGTAAAGCATGTAAGTATTATCGTCTGTTCAGTGTTTCATTCCTCGTTACCAAAGAATGGAAGCGCCTTTGTGCCATGACACACTCGGCAAACATGACCTGTATGAAATGCACTTGTAGCTCCAAACTTACACCGCGTAGCATTTGAGTATGGCTTACCGCAACTATTGCGTTGTTCGCGTTTGTGCTATATTCGTGACAGTGAGTGCATCACCGCGAACTTGTGCTGTATCCTGTATCTGGAAAACTTACATTCTTTCGTTTCAGATTCAGCTGGCCCACTTAGTCATCATAAAGGCTCGCACTGTCCTACACAGCGCGGGTCTTTACATCCCGGGCTGCTTGCTACCGTATCTAGTGGTTGGCCCGCCCTGGCTGTCATGTGGCTTTTTAGTGCTACGCCAACGGCAGATCCACATGTTCCTGGCAGAACCTGGAAGTCAGGCAGGTCCGACGCGTAGACTTTACAGTCAAAAATGGACGTACATATCGTCGGCATGCTCCTTGTAGTGGTGATAAAGACCTGCTCAATAAAATGACGACGCTTGTCACCGAAGCACGTGTCTTCAAAGCACGGCTGTGGAGCGTATGGTGCACACACATTCGAGTCGTCGTGAGTGGCATTCTGCAACAAGCAGCAAGCGACCATACGCATACAGGAGCCGCATTCGCATCACATTTTCGGCGAGACGAACGATGAATTCTCGAATTAGGCGCTACTTCGTTGTGGGAATCTTCGCTTTAGTCTACTCAGTTGTAATGCTCAATCGCTGCCACTCTGAATGACATCTCAGTACTCCAAAGTTTCTGTATGCTACTATCATCGACACGCGCCAAAGCCTGACGCTCATAGCAGACAGTGAGGATCGATACTGCAGTTTTGCTCGAAGTGGTTTTAGCTAACTCATTGGCAAGATGTCGACCGATCCGGTGTACAATACCAAACAGACATTTTTGCACATTGCAAAAGAGTCCGCTTCACTGCACGCGTTTGGAATCAGAGTGCTGGGAACGATAAGGGACTGTCACAGTGATCAAACTTGATGGCTCGTTGGTAATCGCTATGCTTCGTTTTTGTGGCTACGAGTGCGAGTGCTCAATGCATTGGCGCTCGAAGGAGACCACAAAGGCTTACTACCGTTTCGACTCTTTTGAGTGACGAAAGGTGATACAAAAACAGCTGCATCGAATGCTGTCGTGAAAGGCGGTACGAATCGGGACAATCACCAACGAGCTGTTGTGGATTTACGTCAACATTCACCGGGCTCTATCGCATTGACAAGTTAAACGAGTCATATCTGTTGCACGCCTGGAGTGCAGTTATGCACAAAGTTCATCATTGACCTATTGCTTGCACTTCTTCTTAGACGGCGAGGGTAGTGCCTGGAAACCAGCAAGACACCGACTGGAATACGCCGCAGAGCGCTCAAATTCTACGACGGTATGCCCTCTGCATATTCTAGCTTGGAATCACTCGTGCAGAGTGCGTCAGGCGTAAACTGGTCGTGTTCAAGTCGAAAAAAAACTAGAGTCGAGGTAAGGAATAGGTAAAACTGTGATGGAAGCAGCTCATCGTTGACATAGCTGGTCAGCGTGATGCCGGTCATTACGTTGAAAGGTTTTTGCGAGCGTACTTGGTGAACGAGAGCATCTTAAAGTGACCCAAGACGAGCAACGAGTCGGAAATTGATCGGCATGAACGTCTGTAGGGATAGTTACGTTTTACCGCAGTTATGCTCCTGCCCGTGATAAAGGTCATGCGGAGTTTACCTAGTTATCTTCCTACTATTTAAACAACGAGTTCCTGCGCTGAAGAACTCGCTGAGACAATATGGCGTCAGCTGGTCTGTCCGGGTTGGGCGCTTCGAATGTGGACGCAGAAGATCGACTCCTATTGTCCAGTTGAATCGGACTTGTTCTTCTTACTTGTCAAGAAGGAGTGCCTAAAGTGTCATATCAAATCAAGCTTAAATCTCAGGTGACCCAAAACCTTTCGCCATATCTCGTGCCAGCTGGCTATGCTTTCCAGCAGTGTGTTGTAAATGAACATTTCTGTCGTGCAGTTTACAATGTCAGCCATCTCCATCGTATTTGTATTTCCAGTATCTCCAAAACCTCAACAATAAACGCCGTTCACGTCCGAAGAAGATAAAACGAGCTACAAGTGCTGCACACTTGACTCCTTAATACTCTGGACGTTCCAAATCGTCTATTGAGCAGGATGTCGCGAGCGATAGTCATTTCCAGCCTCGGGATGAAGAGGACCGCTTTGTGTTCCTAGTTGTACCACGAGAGTGTTGCATCGGCATCTGTGGACTTTGCCACTCAGAGGGCAACTGTCGTGGTAGACCCTGACGAACAGGTTCATGATAACGACTTGGTCCGATCCGTTCAACGTGCAGGATCGAAACTTTGCACCTGAGATGTTGGGCCAAGTGTGCGTGAAGTGTCTGTCGTTGCCAAGGACTGTGCGTTTGATACCAACGAGAAGTCGGGTAGAGCGTCGTCTACAGCTGCAAACGATTTAGCTCTTTCAAATGGCTACGAAAACATAGTCGACATCGGAGAGGTTACGCTTCTCATCGGAGGCATGACTTGCGACCCGTGCTCTAGCTCAGTCGTAGACGCGCTGGCAAAGCTAAACGGCTTATTTTTAGTTATTTCCAGCTACTGTTAGCTTTGCAATGGAGAAATCACGGCCAGCTCGGCAAGCACGTGGTCGGCGTAAGAGCGGTTGTTGAGACTGTCGCATGCGACGCCTCGAGTGCCTGGAGTAGAGGCTCAGAAAGTGCGTGGAAATCAGCGCGCCTAAGAGACCGCGCGACATCGCGTCGACGTTCATGTATTAATTGTCTTCACGACCCCAGTCTCTATGATCATGACGGAGTTTGACACCGGAACACAGCTTGTCGTTGACATTTTTCCAGGTGGTTCGTGGCAAACTTTGATCGTGGCAACTACCGCTACGCCAGTCTAGTTACATGCTGCATGTCGTTTCGCGTCAATGCGTATTTAAGATAAGGGGCCAGACGCTAGGCATGTCATTCTCCGTATCGGTGGGCTCAAACAAGTCATGCTTTTACGGGCTTCTCGGCGTCGTTGGCGCTTGTCTACTCAGGTTTTGCCATCTTGATGTGATCTGACTTCGACGATGCTGCTTTCGTTCGTGACAGTGGCCAGCATCTTTTAAATCCGCCGTGAAAGGCGAAACGTCGCCAGCATGGAGCAAGTTGATGGAGCTACAGGTCAAACCGGCTACGCTGTAAGTTTCCAGCGCAGATGGAACCAGTGTTCAAGAAGAATGGAGTGCTGTCATTGAGCTGGTCCAGCTCGGCGACATTTGAACGTCGTTCGCACTTCATCGATTTCTGATGATGCCGGCATTGTTTACAGCGACAATCGAATCGGTATGTTGATGCTGACCGGTGATGGAGGATATGAAGTCGTTGGTGATCGCATGCCGGGAACAACGATCAACGCTGGCGGGTTGTATCATGTGAATGAAATTAATGTGGACGACAACGACTGCACCGAGTCAACCCTTTCGTCATGTGGAGGACATGCAGGCCTCGGAACCGTCAATCCAAGCATGTGTAGACTACCTGGCATCCATCTATGCACCAACTGCACCGGAGTTGTCGTGTCTGACGTCCTCAGCCTAGTTCATCCGATGTCTTCTTGAGGTGATTCGTTCCATCGAGCTTGATTCCATCCACGGACAGTGAATTCATATTTGCGTCCAACTCTGGTATCCCGACGCTCGAGATTGCTTGCCCATGTGCATTGAGACTAGCCACGTTAACGGCAGTCATGGTCAGAATGGGTGTTGGCGCTGAGCATGGCATGTCAATCAAAGGTGGCGAGCCTTCAAAAGCTGCGCCATCATCGGCACGATCCTGTTCGACAAGACGGGTACGCTGACTGTGAGAAAGCCTGTGGTGACAGACGTGGTCGTGCTCAGTAAGAAATGGAGTACCAAGAAACTCATTCTCTTAGCTGGGTCGGCCGAACCTGGCAGCGAACACCCGCTGACCAAGATAATCATCGAGTACCTCACATCCAAAGCATCACCACTTGAGCGGCCGACTGCTTTCCACGGCGTCTCGGGACGAGGTATCATCACATGCATGGTTGGTGAGCGCAAAGCTGTCATCGGCAACAGGGAATGGATGGCAGATAACGGTCGGTGAAGCGTTGGACGAGTATTGTGCTACAGCGAGCCACGCTGACATTCAAGAATGCCGGAGAGACTGCAATTTACACGGGCGTTGACAATGAGCTTAGAGCTGTCATTGACGTGGCAGACGCGCTCCGCTCGAAGTCAGTGAGAACGCCGAAGAAACTCAAGCACATGAGTCTCGAGGTTTGGGTGGTCACTGGAGACAACGCGCGTACTGCGGACACGACTGCTGACCAGCTCGGTATCAGCTGTCGCAACATCATGGTTGGTGCTGTTCCTTTCCAAGGTCTTTGTTAAAGTCAAGCAGCTTCAGAGCAGTGGCCACACCGTTGCAATGGTCGGCGATGGCATAAATGACTTGCCTGCCCTTGCACGAGTGGATTTTGGCATTGTTGTAGGTGGTGGCATGGAAATCGCAGTGGAAACGCTGGCATGGTCCACATGAAGGTCAACTTGTTCGACGTCATTCCGGCACTGGATCAGTCTTGAACGATCGGTGCCCGTATCCGGCTGAACAAGTGTGGGCTGAAGCTACAATTGTCCCTTGATCCCTCCAGCTGCAGATGTGCTGTATCCATATGGCTCCACTATTCCGCTCATGTTTGCTGGTGGTACCATGGCCATTTCGTCCGTGTTGTGGTGGTCACGTCTTCGCTCTTACTTCGGGGTTACGCCCCTCCAGCTCTTCCCGAGAACTTCATTGCCGTTGACACCAAGTCGCAATGACTCAAGATGCCAAGAGTTGCAACCCCTTTGAGGCTCGTGTCCAGTATGCTGGGATAACTCGCTGCGTTGTTTTGATTTTACTGCTCTTGATATTGCAATATAGCGCATTGTTGACTGAATGCATAGTGGCCAGTCATTTCCATCGTTCTTGAGTACAAGAGACGACAATAATTGTGTAAAGGCATGGAGATCGGCGATACAGAATGTGCCATCGCAACAGCGACGAGCGCTGGAGACGGAGAGGTTGAAGTTGTCAGCAAGAGACGGTTGAAGAAAATGCGTCGTGCAGAGAGAGATCCAGTCGAGCGCCAAGCCAAGAAGCGCAAGTCCAAGCAAGAAGCCAAAAGTGCTGCCAAATTCCAGGCTGAAGTACCGACGTACTCATTTGTCAATGGTAGTGGCGAAGAAATGATTTCGCACCCAATTGTTGTTCAGGAAACGTTGTTTCTAGACAGACAAATTAGTAATAATGAGGTCTGATGGTTCATGGCAGGTTATCGGACGGTCGAGCCGTACGTGTACGAGTTTCGCACATTTGCCAAGGCCAGGTGGTTCAACCGTGAGCTGCTGGAGGTTTTTACCACAGAATTCGGCGCCAATTCGCCAGAGTACTATGTGAGTTCTGACGACAAAACGACTTTGTAATGTGGTTCAATCATTGCTGAAGGAGCATTGTGGTGTAGAGATTTGCCATTGCATCGGGACGCATCTCCGTGAACCATCAGCTCGTGCCGACGGATACCGTCATCAAGAACGGAGATTTGATCATTCATACGGTGACTTTGGCTGAGCTTGCGGTCGTTGCTGTCTTGTTGTTGTGTTCAAGGACTGATAGCACAGCATTGCGTCAATATCATAGGCTCATCGGCACGAGCCTCCAGTGTCCGGAGATGAGGTGGCAGTAGTGTATGAGAACGACGATCTGGTACGTGTGTGAGCAAGTACCGCTCTTTTGCAGCACCCGAACTAACCGTGGAGTGCAATACTAGATTGCCGTGTCGAAGCCGCCTTCCATGCCGACTCATCCGTGTGGAGCGTATCGCCACAACTCGCTGCATTCGATCCTGCAAACAACTCGACCGGACCTTCCGCAGCTTCACGTCGTCCATCGACTCGACCGACTCACATCTGGTACGATGCAAAGGTTGATCCGATGTAACCCATTGCTCATTATTGAAACTCACTCGGCTGCATCAGGTGTTGTGCTTCTAGCAAAGAATGCGGCCAAGGCGAAGTCTCTGTCATCAATCATCGGTACGTTACGGTTTGCTGCTGCAACAAGCAACCAGCTCTTGTGCGGTTATTTTCCTGTTTTTACAAGCTCGCGTGACTCCTCGCTAATACTTTGATCCATTTGCGGAGTAGCTAACCGCCAGGCTTCCAAGACGTATCTTGCGCGTGTGCGCGGTGACTTCCCAGCTCTCTTCGATCAGGCAACCCAGGAGACGCTAGTGAGCAAAGCTAGAGTCAACTGCCCTGCCAGTGTGATTACGTTCCCAGAGAAGGACACCCTCGTTATTAGCTGTCCACTTCGCTGTCTGTCAGCTCGCGATGGTGTGTGGGAGTGCCACGAAAACGGCAAAGCATCGGAGACTTTGGTGCGTCTCGTCCGTGCAGACAAGTCAACGAGCCTCGTGAAATGCCAGCCGGTCACAGGACGAACACACCAGATCCGTCTGCACTTGCAACTCGTTGGATTCCCCATCGCCAATGACCCTTGCTATGGCGGCGAGCTGCATTTTGGAGAGAGAGTGCAGAGCGCATCGAAGAGATTGCAGCGGCGAAGCGCAGCAAAGCTGATCTTGTGCCAAAAGACACTGTGGACTATTCATCGCCTCGGAAGGAGGACGAGAGCGAGGAGGAGTTCGTGAGACGGACATGTCCTTGGTGCTGCGTTGGGGACGCTGACGCTTTCAAGGAAACGCAGTTGCATTGCTCAAAGATTTGGCTACACGCTCTGGAGTACAAGGTACTTTTTGTCTGAACATTCTGGCTTTGATAGCGGGGTACTCATGAGCTGTGGCGTGCACTACTTTCGCAGCTGGACGAGTGCGTGTTCACGGCACCTGAACCCAGCTGGGCTGCTCTTCTGAGTACGTTCTAGATGCAGACTCGCTACCGTCTGCACATCGCTTGACGTGTTTGAAGAAGGCGCCCTCAAATGATGGTGATGCCGATCATTCAGGCTCGTCGTTATTTTAGGCTCGCCAAATGAGTCGGCGTTCAAGGCACGACTTTTCATCGGAAAGCGTGCAAGATCATTAGAAGCGCTTCTGAAAGCTGGGGATGCGAGGTAAAGGGCTCGATGACATTTTGTCCGGTTTAAATACTTCTGACCGAGCTACCAACGTTCTTACACTTTTTGCCATAGAAATAGAGGTAGCTCTATTTCTATGGCAAAAGCAAAAGTGTGAGAACGTAATGAGCGAATAAGTTTCGATAGCATATTTGCGAAAACTGAAAGCTCATTATCGACTTCCTAAATTTGTATGAGATTGTGAATTTGAAATTGATGGTAAAAAGATGCTTAAAAAGGGGACCCTACGTTTAACGTTTCCACGCCGCTAAAAAGTAAATGTTATGAAGAGGATTTCTTACTCAGCATCCTGACCACAAGCCATCTTCGCTCTAGCGGCCTTTTTCCAATATTTCAGTCGCGCAGAAAAAGCACTATTTCTGACGTGCTAGCTTTGTTTCTGTGTCGCCGCATAAGAGCAAGTGGATCTGCTCACGATTGTACAGTCTGACATTCCACAGTTTGCAAAGCGATTGTGGACACGTCAGTTGCGTCAACTGAACTTTCTGCAAGGTCGATACTGTACAATCGGTAGTAGTCCCTCGATATCATCATAAGTACCTCAACATGTAAGTTCTGATGGCATGGCTGCCTTACAATGGACCAGTGCGAGACTGTCAAGAAGTCAGTGCTCGTAGCACTGGCTTCTTGTCGCAGCCTGACTGTCGTGATTTCTATACATCAAGGATGGGTCCCGCCAACTGCTGGGCACGTGTCGGGTACGCTGGACCAAAATCAGTGAGATGATGTGTAATGACGCTGTGCCACTCCCGCAGGAATGTCACTTTGAGCCAGGACTGAAAACAACCCGCTTTACTAAGGCGAGGCAATCAGGTTGTAGGGTTTAATATAAAAAATCCCGATTTTAAGCCAGAAAACATCATTCCATTCGGCTCGGTGAGCGGCGGCTTTTTGGTGGTTCCGCCTTCCTCCATCGTCGGTACCAATCAGAAAGTTCATCATCATTCGTGCTGCTTCGTAGTGAGCGAAAATTGGCACGAAAAGTTGAGGTGTGCCTTTGCGCTACGCCTCTCCTTATTTTAATTACTTGAAGTTTAGCAGTGCATGCATTCGGCACTTCGGTATTCTGCGGAGACGCATTACCGGTGAAGCATTTCTAGACCGCGTTAAAAGAGCGACCGCGCTTTCGTTCTGGCACCCGGATTTTTATCTAAATATCGACATTGACGACGACCACTTCGAAAGTCTCTAGGGCGACCTAGTCTCGTCATCAAAAACGACGACCACTTCGAAGTTATCCACAGCAACATGGTCTTGCTATTGAAGATCGAGAACGTATTTGTTCAAGTTATCGACAAGCTCGTCAAACAGTCTCAAATAACGCGACGACGCTACATGTTGGCCTCGGCAAGGTAAGGTAAAAGGTTACCGGGTGATAGTTTTTGTTTAACCTTTTCCTTACTACTTTGTTTAACTTTACCTTACAACCTTGACCCGGATGGTCAATGACTACCTTTACATTTACCTCACTCTACCCCTTTACCCTAGGCCATTACCCGGTAAACAAGCGCTTGAAGTGATAGTTCGAATCGGTGAAGTTGCAGCTGTATTGATGATACGACATTGCCAGCCTATCAAAATAGATTGGCTGGGTGGAATGGGGTAAGATCAAGTCGTGTACGCCAGGTGGTAAGCGAGCGCAATGCACTCTTGCGGTGTTTTATCAGGGCTTGCATTGGGCTTCAAATGACATACCGGCGAATTGGTTGTCCTGTAATCCCATCGTCAGGGATATCCTCGTCCCAATTTTACTTTTCCATCTCGAGCTGCGCAACCATGGACTGCACCTCATTAATGCTGGACTGTACGAGTGCAGCTAGAGCTTGTGCTCGATTCGCCGGCGCTTTAACGATACCGGCACCCATCCATGAGCGCTAGATTTTAAATTGCATATTCATACTTCATTAAGAAAGAAGCACCATTTACACGAATTAACCACCCATTATCTTACATCTCACGTGGTACGTCCAACACTTACGTGACAAGTAAATAATGGGCGGTTAGTAGATGGCGCCGCGTGTTCCGACGTCGGCGTCGTTGTCGTCGCCACTGCATTTGGAACCTTCCATGAATATAAATGCTTCGGAATGCAGTCGCACGCAAAGACGCGTGCTTTTGATGTTTGATGAAATGCTTTATTCGCTCGAAGGACTCCATGGGGCAACTCACAACGCGCAAAATGCTGCACAGAAGCGCTTATGTCCGACTTGGACGTTTTAATCTATATTTACCGGGTAATCAGGTATTGACATCGGCTTTGCTATAACTCGACACGCTACCTTACCCGTTGGCTACCTGTAACGCTTACCCTTCATCTTACCATTTTACGTGTAATGAAGGGTGTCATACCTTACCTTGCCAAAGCCTGGCTACACGTTATCAAGTACGGCAAGATGGTCCTAGCTTTTCTATCATACTGATCGTTGGACAATATCTGTTGGCGTCCTTGCAGTTGCAAGCATCGGCGGTCGGCTGGATCGTGCCTGAGTCACGCACTTATCTGAAAATAGAACCGAAAAAAAACTGATTTCGAAAGCTCAGAGCCAGTCGATTAAATGAAACATTCAAATAGAACTTGGGAATAAAAACTAAAAGTACCTCCCCTGCTTCAAGCACCCTCTTCTGCCATAAATATGCGAACCTACTTCAATCCCCCCCCTTTTTGATTATATGTGGTGAAAACCGGCAGCGCGCACGCCTATCCATGCAACCAGACGCGACATCAGGCTCCAATCGCTACAGTAGATTCCTCTCGATATTTTGAACGGAGACTGTGGTACCATTCGAATACCACCACGTCCCCACTGGCTTTCTGCATCTGCGACCTCCGATATACACTGGAACATATCTGATAAAAAGGCTTGAAGGCTCGGTCCAATTTTGACGGTTGCGCCAACTGGTCTGAACGCTGCGTGGACATCGTCTGATGATCCGCACTGTTTGATGCAAATGCGATACACGAGGTCTAGTCCACACGCGGTCTGGTCATAGCCTGACAATTGTCAGCCGATGCTGCAACCGCATTGCAAATTACTCCCGCAAGATCTCTAGACCCTTTGGAAGGTTTTCTTCCTTCTCTTTTCGCGTTCCACCTCATTGTGCCTCACTTGTCCGTCGTCAAGCATCGCTATGAGGATTGTCTCTCTGTTCGCACTATCTGCGAGTCTTTCGCTGCTCGTCGCGGCCGGCTTAGCCGTAAGTTTCGACGATCCTGGTATCCTGAACGCTGTTGCTGCTGACGTGAAAGCGTCCGAGCCTGCCGACGCACTAGAACTGGCCCATTCTCAGATCAAGCAAGAGCAGGAAAATCGGGGCTTAGTGCCTGTCGTTGAAGCAGCCGAGGCGTTAGTAGGCCATGTAATCGCCCCGTCCAATCGGGTAGCCGAGTCAAGCAAGAGCGCACTTCTCAAGGAGCAAGGGGAGCTCGGGCGGCTTGTTCATGGTCGCCAATCCGTCGAGTCAGATACATCACGTGGCGTTATCAATGTGCATCATGAGGAAGACACAAGACTCAGCAGCGACAGCCAATCCATCATGTCAGGCAAACGAGCCGAAGTCGTCGCAACGCATCAACAGGGATCTGTTGACCCTCGTTTCAACAATGAGGAGTACAAGCTTGCGTGTTCCCTTGCTTCTAAACCTCATCATCGACCGTCAATCGATAAATACGAAAAGTTGGCGCGGACGATAGGTCCTTTCGCTACGATGTTGAAGCTCCACGAGCGGACGGCGGAACCACATTCACCAGAAGCGCATCAAGAGAATATACTCGAAATCGCGCAGTTCGCTTCCTGGTTCTTGAGTAAGAAAGACCCCGAGCTTGTTCGTGAGGATGCACGGCGCGCTGATGTGTCGGCGGAACAGCGCAAAATCGCAGAGGCTGTTGCGAACGGCTATGACAAGTTCATCGTTGAGGCATTTCGACAAGCCCGTGGGTATAAACTTCCTCGTGCCGACAACGGCAAACTTGGCGAGAATCCACTTTTTGCCACGATAACGGATAGTGAGTTCGAGGCCATGCGTCAAATGGTTCAAGATGATGTGACTAAGGGTCTTTTTTCATATAAGCCGTTGCTTAAGTCCCGAGGCAATATCGAAACTCAACGACAGATCCTCCAGATGAAAATGACAAAAGGACTGGAGAAGGAAGCGGCGACTCTGCAGCGTCAACAGTTCTCCGAACGGATCGTGAAACGTATTGAACCTGAACTTGCTCGAGCACAAGCGAGTAGCACGTGTAGGTCGTTGCCTGATCTCTTATCCCTCTATTCTGTGGTGGACCAGTATGAGCAGTTCGTGAAGAAGATTTTGGAAGAGGTCCACGGTCGTAAGCGCAAGCGTGACGTGCCCGTGTATGAATTAGACTAAGTAAGCGTGCGGTCCCCACGCAATAGTCCAATTCTCTTGTGTTGTGTCATTCTTTTCTCGACTTTTTAGTCTGTTGTATGCACTTGTTCATACTTGAATTATGTGAACAGAGCCTATTTGAAGAGTTCGTTCCACGCTGGTGTAGATGTCCTTTCGCTGAGAGCCGAGACGATGGGTATTCTACACAACTGACAGTACATTACAGGAGTTGCCACTCAAATTAGCACCAGCTCCAGCCAACCGAAGAGATTGGCAACACTCTGACAACACGCATGATACTTCAACTATAATCCGTCCTATCATCACGCGCATGGGCTCAGTGTCGAGACATGTCATCCCTATTCTGTATCATCTGGGTAGTTCCTTGAATACTGATCTAAAGATAGGAGAGCAGCTCTAGAACTCGCACTTTGTAATTCGGTCTATAGGACGGAATCTTGTTCTTTCGATTTACGGACCCATCTAGGGGGGGCGACGGGGTAATGGGTTGTGGCGCTTTACTGTGCTTATCAGTTAGAGCTCTGATACATTGTGTGTGTTTAAGGGACTGGATGGGCCACTAACACCCCTATTTGTGGGAGTTCACAGACACTGTGTGTGAACCCTTCCAAAGTATTGTTTGTAAAATCCTAATGTGAGGTCATCATCCACCGAAACCTAAGCGACTTCATAAATATACTACTATACCACTAGTTACTACACTGCTAGCATTACAACTGCTACCACCATTCCTTTTTCATGAAATCAAGCCTGTACCGTTGCTCTGCATGCTACAGAGGAGTCAAACAAACCAGCACGTAGAGGCCGAGTGTAACGGGGCACCCTGAAGCTCGTACTGGTGACAGTACAAGCTACTTATTCTGATAACAGAATAAGGCGGTGCCTCGTAACTTCACGTACACTCGTACGTGCAGAGGAAGACGGTAAGAAGAAGCGAGTACTTGGTTAGAGTAAAAAGTAGAACTGTATTTATAATAGTTAATGTCTGCAATAAATCACTATTTATCTTCATCTAACTATGTCTAAATACAAATGTGTAAATCAGTTATCTGCTCACCACTCATTGCGTGCGTCTGTCGTGGCGCGTCTTCGTTGGTTGATATAATGGCCTATATCAACCAATTAGGAACTACTTGGAAGTGCTACAGAATATTTGTCCTTATGACAATATTCTGAGAATATAACTCTTATAGTTATATTCTATTAACAATTTCTTATAAATTGTTATGTAACGATTCACCCCGTTACATCACCCCCCTTAACCATCAGTCACTTTAGTGACTGATTGACTAAATGGATACTCGTCCCAAATCATTTGGGACAGGGTTTGCACTTGTTGGTCCGCGTCCACTTTCCAACATTTCATCGCATGGTAGACAAGCCCATGCGATGCGCGAGCAAGGCCGCCGAGAGCGCGTCTGCACGTCTCTGTGCGGACGCCGAAGCAGAAACAACAGCAACTGATGTCCCATCGGTTGCTGAAGAGACCCAGCCTGTGTCACTTGGTGACGCAGGCGCTGGTCATGAAGACACTCGTGTCTTCACAGAGTACGAGCTCGGTGTCTCGTACTCTCCTGATACGGATGACGGATCCGTATCGACGGCGATTGAATCTAAGCCGCCTGCCAAGCGTGGCATGGACGATGCTTTGCGTCGCAGCATCTTCGGTTCATCTGATGAATCAGATGAACCATCGCCGAAGCGAAGGCGCTCGAGGTCGCGAGACTCGGGCGCTAATAGTGGTGTCGGTTCTCCAATGGACACCACTTCACAGCGAGGTGCCAGTACTTCTGTCGGCACGTCGCAGGAAGAGCGGGACCGCAATGTGTTGCGTCTCGCTCCAGAAAAGAAGGCATGGATGCCTCCAAAATCCGTCATGGATCACTTGTCGGCGACGACGAGTGATCGTTATCGAACACGATTGTTCGATTCGTCGAGGATTCATCACCTTGACCCCAGCGCGAAAGACTATCGCGCTGAACATGAATTTTCTTCATCGATGCTTTCTTCAGACATCGATGGTACAGTGGGAATCACAAACGTGATGGTCCCTCACTACTTCAGGCGTGGAACGCCTACATCCATAATCTCGAGGATGTAGGTCGTGACGCTTGGAACGACAAACTTATCAAAGCTCGTGATAAGTTTGAAAAGCGAACCCCGACAGGTGCACGCTACAAGCTGCATCGTCTGTCAAGGGAGAAAGGATTACCCTGCCTCTCTTGGGGAGACTCGTGCCCATGTTGTGTGAACAACTCTGCACGAGCACCTAAGGAGGCTTACCTCCTTACCAGCCCGTGGTGGCGCGTACGTGTCTCTACTGAGATGTACGAAGGGATTGACAACCTGAAATCCCTTTACGACCGTGCCGGGAAGACTTTCTCCGGCGGTCCTTCTGCGGCACAGGATATGTCGCGTCGTACTGCTCGACCAGACCCAGTACGTCAACCATCAATTGGGAGCGGGGCTCCCAAGAATCCCAGGACGGGGGATAGCCGCGCCACCGGACGAGATAACTCGTCCGACGTCCGTTCACGTCGCGGTGGTTCAACAGCTGCTCTACTAGATAGCGCTGGCCACCGCGAGAGTCCTCTAATGGAGGTGAAGGAGGAGGAAAGACGCTCTCCACACGATCATGTGGATCGGTGTGTTCCCGAGAGCTTCTTTGATCGCGTAACGCAAGGGTTACGCGACGATCTCGAGCATGAGCGGAATAGGCGTCTCCAGATGGTGGACACTGCCTCGAAGCATCGAGCTGAGTTTGCCTTTGCTCAGCTTGAGAACGAGAGATCTCTTACATCTCTTCGTGACGAGCTAAGGGTAGCTCGTGGGATTGTTGATCGGTCTCGGGCTGAGATAACTGCTCTTCAGACCCTTGTTGATGCCCACCATCGGGAGCACAAGGCTCTCTGCGAGATGCTTGAGCGCAAGGGCGTTCTTCATCGGAAGAAGCAGCGTACTGATGGTACGGCTTAAGCCGACCAACGTAAAACGTGGGATGCGTTCGCATCTTACGTGGTAACTCGATCGTGTATGCATTGCCTAGGCGGTGCAATACACGAAATGGGCCAATGTACTTGGGTAGTAGTTTACTGCTACCCAAGTTAGTCACTACATGCTTTGGTAGATTAACCGTAGACAGTAGGACTAAGTCACCTTTATTAAATAAAAGAGTGTTTGCCCTTCCATTCTTGTCAGCGTTTTGCTTTTGCTTATCCACCGCTTCGGCGATGGAGTCTTGCACAAAACGGACTACCATTTCACGAGCCAGTATGAACTCATCTGATGACTCGTTAGCTTCAGTGTGCTGTGAGCGCACTGCAGCGACAACAACCTTTTCTTCAGTGAGGGCTTCCGCACTCTCACTGGGATCATTGTCTTCAGTGAGGGCTTCCGCACTCTCACTGGCATCATCTTCTTCGATATCGATGTTATCGATATCGGCATCAAACGCAATGACTTCTTCGTCAGAGCGTGATGAGCGTGAACCAAATCGGTTTTTGCTCGCGCGAGTCCCTCCCCCCTTAAACCAGAGTTACACTCTAGTAAGGTGGGTACACGCGGATGGCGCAAGCCATTCACGTAAAACGGTGTATGTGTCGTGGACGCATGCACCGAGTTGTTGATGGCAAACTCTACCATCGGCAAAAACTCACTCCAACTCTTAAAGGAGTGTACGTATCCTCGAAGTATCTCTTCAAGGACACGATTGGCACGTTCCGTCTGACCATCTGACTCTGGATGATCAGATGTTGACATCTTCAAGCGCGTTCCGAGTGATTTGAACACGGAACGCCAGAAATCAGCAGTGAATCGTGGATCTCTGTCTGATACGAGTTCACGGGGCAACCCATGAAGTCGGAAGATGGTGTCAATAAAGACACAAGCACAGCCACTTGCCGTGATTGTCTCTGGTACAGCCACAAGGTGTACCATTTTGCTGAATCTGTCAACAAATACGAGAATACCCGTATTCCCGCGTGCGTCTTTGGGTAACCCGAAGACGAAATCCATTGAGATGGATTCCCAGCACTCAGCCGGAACCGGTAGAGGCTGTAAAGGTGCACGCAGTGAAGGACTTGACTTCACTCGTTGGCAGACTTCGCATGCGCGAACATACTTTCGCACAAACTGATACTGGCGGGGCCAGTAAAAGTCTCGACTTACCGTGAGATATGTTTTCTCTCGGCCACGATGTCCTCCTATAGGAGCATCGTGATACTCGAACATGATCCGCAAACGCAGATCAGTATCATCTGGAATGACAACACGTGGTGTGTCACCAGAAACGGCTGTATAGTACAGTAAACCGTTACGAGTAGTGTATCGATCTGATGCAGATCGATACGCAGACGACAATCGTTTCAACGATTCTCGAGATGGTTGGGAGAGATGTGACAACAACTTCACTATCTCACCATCTTGGGCGTATGCCCGCCTCACATCATCATACAACGTTGTAGATGGAACTGAGGACGTCATAACCGCAACAGTGACTGTCTCACTGTTGGGTTTCGCGACTGTTTCAAAGTCGGGACGACGTGAGAGTGCATCAGCGACGACATTAAGTCGTCCTGGTTTGTACTCGACCGTAAAGTTGTATTCTGCAAAGAATGACAACCACCGCGCCATTCGTTGTGAAAGGTGCGGGCTGTTCACTGCCGTGCGTAAGGACGCATGGTCAGTGTAAACAACGAAGGGTCTATCTCCTAATAGATAGACTCTGAACTTCGCGAGTGCATACTTCATGGCAAGGAGTTCCTTGTCATGCACTGGATAGTTCCGCTCAGCTGGTTGCAGCTGACGCGACTGATAGCAGACGACGCGTTCAACGCCTTCAAGGTCGTACTGCATTAATGCACAGCCGATTGCGAAATCGCTGGCATCACAGACCACATGAAATGGCCTGTCCTGATCGGCTATTGCTAGGACTGGGGATTGTATCAAGCTCTGCTTGATACCCTCAAAGGAGCGTTGACATTCAGCGTTCCATAACCACC